AAAGCGAAGCGTTATTGTATTCACACAAAAACATATGCATACACTAGACACACACACATATGGTTGCAGGGATTAGGGAAATGAGTTATATATGAATATACACACATACGTACTCTAAATTGAACGTATACTATTCCTAGGCCAGTTAATCCAGAATCCAATTCTGGGATTCCGAGACCCTTTTGAATCGAACTTTGCATGTAGCTCTATGTTAAGACAAATGAAAAAAATTAGCAGCACTTACAAGCATACCGGCAAGGACTCCACAAGTCTCTAAATTCTTTTTTGTATTTGACTTGGCAAGCTTCATAAAACTCTCCATCAAAGAAGTTGACTGAAATAGAACCCCTTATTAGAAAGAGACACCAAACTTCATTCAATGATAAATAATTTAGAAATTATACGTATACTGGAAGAAACTAAATACTCAACACGGACTTAACTATGCCTACCCCCAGAAACATCAACCTAAAATTAAATCACAAAAAATAGATAAGAAAGTGTTATTGACTCACAATGTGCAGTTGCAGAGGAGCCTCCGCATGAACACAGCTATCAGTTGATGAAATCTCTGCCTTACATCCTGCTTCCTGAACACAAGGTGATGCTGCAGGGACCAAATCTAGTACCTCAGCAAGTACAGGTGGAGGAGAAGGCTGCCTGATAACCTCTATTGCAGGAGTTGTTTCGGTTGTTTCAAACGAAATAAGAGAAGGAGGTTCCTGATCATGAAGTTGAGGCTGAGGCTGGGGCTGGCAGTCCTCACTTTGGGTAACAAGTGAATCTAAATCTGACTTATAGTGTTCCGTAATGCTATCATCTTTCTTACTCACAGATTCATGTTCCGAAGGATTTTGTAGGCTGTATGTTCCAAAAGTAGGTAGGACATAATCACATAATTAATATAAAAAATAAATAGATAAACCAACTCCAGAAGCATCATGGACAAAAATCTTGGTTGTTAAAATATTGAACTCTGATAAACCAAACGAATCCTTTTAAAACATGACTTCAAATATAGTTCCATCATTTTAAAAATGGTTAGCATTGACATACAAATCACTTTTCTTAGAATAACTTGGAAAGCCAACAATAAAGAAAAGCACAATAGAAACTTAAAATAAGAAATAACCTTGGCAATTCAACAGGAGACAGATCAATGTTGTTTGGATACCTGATCTACATCCACATCCAGACAGAAAAGTCAGGACAATCATCGAATAAAATAGAATTAAAACATACAGATCCAAAACAACATACCCATTTATCAGTGGAAGGTGGTCTCCACTGCCCATTTAACCCATTGGGACCAAGGATAGAATGTCTAGAGAGAGTTTCCTCCTTTGGAGGTGGAAGAGTTAGAGATCTACAGAAGTTCAGCAAAAATGAAGGGGACCTCTTATTTTCGAAAAATATAATGAAGGACAAAGTAATCTGTGAACTAATTTAAAAAACCAACACAGACTAAAACTTTTTATTTCAAGCAGTGCTACTACATCAAATATAATAAAGCAAGTTTTTAAACCAAAAACTGTAGTCAAACCTTGATGTAGCCGGTTGCTAATTCTTGAAGATGCCCATTTCTTATTATTTAACATTTCCACAATCATTTGGTATATGGTTTTTTTAATTTATTTAAATATAGTTAATGATCTTCTTTAACTTTTTAAAGTATTTTTATTAACGTAACTTTTCTCAAGATTTTCCAGTGAGATTCAGAAACAGGAAATCATATCCAGCAACATCCTAAAATTTCGTAATGTATCTGCAATACAACCCAAATACTCTGTACAGTTTTCAACAAAGATAAATTGTATTTCAACCAGCAGCAGGTTATAAGCCAGGAAAAGGAAATGTTATAACTGTAATCTCTGCTCACTTAACTGGGTCAAATTTTATATTAAAAAGTAACACAATAATGTAAAAGAAACAACTAAACCTGAATTACTTGCATAACAAAACTTTAGATAACTAGATAATCATACTACTGACATTGCACAATGAAGGACCATCTAGCATTTGACTTTTAAATAAGTTTTCTCATGATACTAGAAAGCAACCAAAAGATGAAGGAAAGCTTCCCTTCACTTGACTTCATTCCTGTGAAAAAATAAACTGACATGTACAAGCAACACCCGTCACAGTATTACCACCACCACTAAGAAGTCCATTATACATTATTTTTAAGACCAATACTTACAGTCTTCGTACATGCTCTTCCACGGGCCTGACATAAGAGAATTGTTGGGTCCTGGATCCTTGGAAAAGAAGCTCCCCAGTTCTAGTAGGTCTGGCTGCCTGGTCAAATATACAATAATATATGGATGCTAGAGTTCTTTTCAGAAGGGGCAGAAAAGCATAAAAGATTTTATTTTAGGGAAAGATTATTACTAATGAATGACAACATTAGTTTGAGTGAATTCTCATGCAACAAATTTTACCTTTATTTGGCCATAACTAGCTGATGTTTGCTTTTTCATGGGAGAAAAATCCAGTGAATTATTTGAACTAAAATTTCCACGCCCATTTTGTTGGTATGCGATATTGTTGTTAAGCTCATTGATCTTCTGTTGGACCACTGGTTTCAATTTCTCCAGTTCATTCAAAGAAATTAACAATTTCTGTGCCAAGAAATTGAAAATCAGATTAAACTCAGGATTTCATAGCAACAAATTTCATTCGGAGAAGAGCGTCAACAATTAACCTTTTTTAATGATTCTTTCTGCCATTGTGGAGATGATCTATAATCTCGGTGACGTGGTATTGTCTCAGACACCAAACTAAAAGCAAACGAAATAAAAGGAAGGACACCTCAACGAGATTCAATGACAAAGTAACAAATACAATAAAGTCCAAATGTTTTAAAAAGTTCAATTCAACTAACGGCAAAAACACTACATGCAAATGTTGATACAAATGCTTTACCTAGAAAATCTTAAAAGCATAACATATAGGTCAATAATATTCTTCTCTGCGCGGAAGATATCAGCCTGCAAAGTTAAAACCAATAGTTTGAGCTTGAAGGTTAGGCAGTGCAACTAAATAGTCAAGAACACATCAAGAACACACAAATAAATAAAAAAATAAAGCATGACAATAAAATCCAGGATGGAAAAAAATATTTTAGCACAAGCTATGAGTAAAAGCACACACTTTACTGAGACAGAAAAAATCAATCACCAGCAACAATAGTGCAAGGAAAAGGCAAAGATGAAACCAGACAGTTGCATTCATGCACGTCATTTTTCATATCACTCTAATATCATCGCGTTCACTATCCCTTGGTACATTCTAAATTCTAACTAAAGTTGATAAACAAACCTAATATGCCCGCATTACACATTCAAATCTAACAATGTATTTCATGATTAAACGATGAACTATCTTTAAACAATTATAAATATTTTGTAAAATCGAAAGCTTTTTGTGCAAGTCCTGGTTAAGTTCAATTCTTGTCCATACAAAAGTGGTACACTCTAGAAAATAGCCAATTTGCCAGCTTTGTGTGCAATTAGTAGAGTCAAATTAATCAAGGGAATAAAACCATGTTCTATGGTTTTCATATTAATGATACTCTCATGAGTAAGGGGACGACAAAAAATACCCCCTTGTAACTCCTTTTATTATTCTGATGCATTGAATCTCTTTCACAGGTACTTCTAAAATATTACAACGACATTTTACACAAAATCCCAAACAAACAAAAATGCTTCCCTTTATTATCAAATATAAAAATCACCACCTCTATCCCACAAAATATTGCACCGCATTCACTAATATAAATTGCACTTCTCAGTAAACCTACTCTCCTCTCTTCCCGATCAGCGACAGTAAAATCTATGAATTGAAATGAAAGCATATATTTATGGGAAAAAATTTGTTAAATATTTCTTAGAAGACAAAAACAAGTTCTAAAGTAGACGCTGTCTATCTAAACCTAGGATTCTTCGTCCCAATTCCCAGACGCCACATTGAAATATCAGGAAGGCGAAGAAAAGGACCTGTCGGAGGATGTTATCGGCGATGCGATAGTAGAATCGCAGCGCGATTCGGTTATCGACATCGAGTTTCTGAGCACTGGCAGCGATGCTGATCCTATCCGAAGAAGAGGACCTCATCGGTTTCTCTTATCGTTTCACGCAACGCAGCGTTTCACCGTCGTCGCCGTCGTTTTCTTCCCACAAACGAAACGACGACACCGGAACTGCGCAAAGCTTGGATGACGAAGCTAACGGTGATCGATCATCGACGGCGGTGTAGAAATTAGATCGGGTTGAAGCGATGAGGTGAATGAATGCGATAATTGTAATTTGGGGTGGTTGTGAGGGTAAATATGGAAACGCGGGTTTGCTTCATGGTCTATTTGGCCGCTCCCGCGTCGCCATACCCGTATTTTCTCCTCTCTTTTTTCTTATAATGGGATTTTTAAATATTGCACCATATAAATACTTTCCACTGAACTCTCAATTAAATATTTAATAACATGTGATTAGTAAAATAAATGTGTAATTATTTGAAAATTAATAATTACTTGTGAGAAATAAATTACTAAAAAAAATAAATTATTTCACTTGTTCAAATTCATTACTTATGTATCAAACTTAAAGTAACTTTAATCTATATTTATGATGTCTATACTCATATTAGAAATTGAGTTATATCAATATATTGAAAAAATTATTATTTTTTTAAATCAAAAGTGTGACTGTATTTATTAAAGAAAACTTAATACATAGATTTAATTAGGATTATGTCTATTTCACACATTTTTTATGATATTTAACATTGAGTAACTCAATGAGTGACACAAAATTAATCGTAATTAAATATCTTTTCAAAATTTAATATAAACACATTAACAAACTCATATTTACGGATATTATATAAACTTATTTTTATTTTAAAAAATATACATCAAGTAGGTAATATCTTATTTTTTAAAAATTGGTTATGAAGATGATAATATATATATATATATATATATNTAACAGTTGAGCATAAAATATTGAAGGCTAGAGCGACTAAGCCATTATAGCGCAACTACACTTTGGAAAATTTTTCAAAGGAGTACACATAAATACCATGCATGTGTCGGGTTGATCCATAACAAACAGAAAAGGTAAAAAAGCGAAGCGTTATTGTATTCACACAAAAACATATGCATACACTAGACACACACACATATGGTTGCAGGGATTAGGGAAATGAGTTATATATGAATATACACACATACGTACTCTAAATTGTACGTATACTATTCCTAGGCCAGTTAATCCAGAATCCAATTCTGGGATTCCGAGACCCTTTTGAATCGAACTTTGCATGTAGCTCTATGTTAAGACAAATGAAAAAAATTAGCAGCACTTACAAGCATACCGGCAAGGACTCCACAAGTCTCTAAATTCTTTTTTGTATTTGACTTGGCAAGCTTCATAAAACTCTCCATCAAAGAAGTTGACTGAAATAGAACCCCTTATTAGAAAGAGACACCAAACTTCATTCAATGATAAATAATTTAGAAATTATACGTATACTGGAAGAAACTAAATACTCAACACGGACTTAACTATGCCTACCCCCAGAAACATCAACCTAAAATTAAATCACAAAAAATAGATAAGAAAGTGTTATTGACTCACAATGTGCAGTTGCAGAGGAGCCTCCGCATGAACACAGCTATCAGTTGATGAAATCTCTGCCTTACATCCTGCTTCCTGAACACAAGGTGATGCTGCAGGGACCAAATCTAGTACCTCAGCAAGTACAGGTGGAGGAGAAGGCTGCCTGATAACCTCTATTGCAGGAGTTGTTTCGGTTGTTTCAAACGAAATAAGAGAAGGAGGTTCCTGATCATGAAGTTGAGGCTGAGGCTGGGGCTGGCAGTCCTCACTTTGGGTAACAAGTGAATCTAAATCTGACTTATAGTGTTCCGTAATGCTATCATCTTTCTTACTCACAGATTCATGTTCCGAAGGATTTTGTAGGCTGTATGTTCCAAAAGTAGGTAGGACATAATCACATAATTAATATAAAAAATAAATAGATAAACCAACTCCAGAAGCATCATGGACAAAAATCTTGGTTGTTAAAATATTGAACTCTGATAAACCAAACGAATCCTTTTAAAACATGACTTCAAATATAGTTCCATCATTTTAAAAATGGTTAGCATTGACATACAAATCACTTTTCTTAGAATAACTTGGAAAGCCAACAATAAAGAAAAGCACAATAGAAGCTTAAAATAAGAAATAACCTTGGCAATTCAACAGGAGACAGATCAATGTTGTTTGGATACCTGATCTACATCCACATCCAGACAGAAAAGTCAGGACAATCATCGAATAAAATAGAATTAAAACATACAGATCCAAAACAACATACCCATTTATCAGTGGAAGGTGGTCTCCACTGCCCATTTAACCCATTGGGACCAAGGATAGAATGTCTAGAGAGAGTTTCCTCCTTTGGAGGTGGAAGAGTTAGAGATCTACAGAAGTTCAGCAAAAATGAAGGGGACCTCTTATTTTCGAAAAATATAATGAAGGACAAAGTAATCTGTGAACTAATTTAAAAAACCAACACAGACTAAAACTTTTTATTTCAAGCAGTGCTACTACATCAAATATAATAAAGCAAGTTTTTAAACCAAAAACTGTAGTCAAACCTTGATGTAGCCGGTTGCTAATTCTTGAAGATGCCCATTTCTTATTATTTAACATTTCCACAATCATTTGGTATATGGTTTTTTTAATTTATTTAAATATAGTTAATGATCTTCTTTAACTTTTTAAAGTATTTTTATTAACGTAACTTTTCTCAAGATTTTCCAGTGAGATTCAGAAACAGGAAATCATATCCAGCAACATCCTAAAATTTCGTAATGTATCTGCAATACAACCCAAATACTCTGTACAGTTTTCAACAAAGATAAATTGTATTTCAACCAGCAGCAGGTTATAAGCCAGGAAAAGGAAATGTTATAACTGTAATCTCTGCTCACTTAACTGGGTCAAATTTTATATTAAAAAGTAACACAATAATGTAAAAGAAACAACTAAACCTGAATTACTTGCATAACAAAACTTTAGATAACTAGATAATCATACTACTGACATTGCACAATGAAGGACCATCTAGCATTTGACTTTTAAATAAGTTTTCTCATGATACTAGAAAGCAACCAAAAGATGAAGGAAAGCTTCCCTTCACTTGACTTCATTCCTGTGAAAAAATAAACTGACATGTACAAGCAACACCCGTCACAGTATTACCACCACCACTAAGAAGTCCATTATACATTATTTTTAAGACCAATACTTACAGTCTTCGTACATGCTCTTCCACGGGCCTGACATAAGAGAATTGTTGGGTCCTGGATCCTTGGAAAAGAAGCTCCCCAGTTCTAGTAGGTCTGGCTGCCTGGTCAAATATACAATAATATATGGATGCTAGAGTTCTTTTCAGAAGGGGCAGAAAAGCATAAAAGATTTTATTTTAGGGAAAGATTATTACTAATGAATGACAACATTAGTTTGAGTGAATTCTCATGCAACAAATTTTACCTTTATTTGGCCATAACTAGCTGATGTTTGCTTTTTCATGGGAGAAAAATCCAGTGAATTATTTGAACTAAAATTTCCACGCCCATTTTGTTGGTATGCGATATTGTTGTTAAGCTCATTGATCTTCTGTTGGACCACTGGTTTCAATTTCTCCAGTTCATTCAAAGAAATTAACAATTTCTGTGCCAAGAAATTGAAAATCAGATTAAACTCAGGATTTCATAGCAACAAATTTCATTCGGAGAAGAGCGTCAACAATTAACCTTTTTTAATGATTCTTTCTGCCATTGTGGAGATGATCTATAATCTCGGTGACGTGGTATTGTCTCAGACACCAAACTAAAAGCAAACGAAATAAAAGGAAGGACACCTCAACGAGATTCAATGACAAAGTAACAAATACAATAAAGTCCAAATGTTTTAAAAAGTTCAATTCAACTAACGGCAAAAACACTACATGCAAATGTTGATACAAATGCTTTACCTAGAAAATCTTAAAAGCATAACATATAGGTCAATAATATTCTTCTCTGCGCGGAAGATATCAGCCTGCAAAGTTAAAACCAATAGTTTGAGCTTGAAGGTTAGGCAGTGCAACTAAATAGTCAAGAACACATCAAGAACACACAAATAAATAAAAAAATAAAGCATGACAATAAAATCCAGGATGGAAAAAAATATTTTAGCACAAGCTATGAGTAAAAGCACACACTTTACTGAGACAGAAAAAATCAATCACCAGCAACAATAGTGCAAGGAAAAGGCAAAGATGAAACCAGACAGTTGCATTCATGCACGTCATTTTTCATATCACTCTAATATCATCGCGTTCACTATCCCTTGGTACATTCTAAATTCTAACTAAAGTTGATAAACAAACCTAATATGCCCGCATTACACATTCAAATCTAACAATGTATTTCATGATTAAACGATGAACTATCTTTAAACAATTATAAATATTTTGTAAAATCGAAAGCTTTTTGTGCAAGTCCTGGTTAAGTTCAATTCTTGTCCATACAAAAGTGGTACACTCTAGAAAATAGCCAATTTGCCAGCTTTGTGTGCAATTAGTAGAGTCAAATTAATCAAGGGAATAAAACCATGTTCTATGGTTTTCATATTAATGATACTCTCATGAGTAAGGGGACGACAAAAAATACCCCCTTGTAACTCCTTTTATTATTCTGATGCATTGAATCTCTTTCACAGGTACTTCTAAAATATTACAACGACATTTTACACAAAATCCCAAACAAACAAAAATGCTTCCCTTTATTATCAAATATAAAAATCACCACCTCTATCCCACAAAATATTGCACCGCATTCACTAATATAAATTGCACTTCTCAGTAAACCTACTCTCCTCTCTTCCCGATCAGCGACAGTAAAATCTATGAATTGAAATGAAAGCATATATTTATGGGAAAAAATTTGTTAAATATTTCTTAGAAGACAAAAACAAGTTCTAAAGTAGACGCTGTCTATCTAAACCTAGGATTCTTCGTCCCAATTCCCAGACGCCACATTGAAATATCAGGAAGGCGAAGAAAAGGACCTGTCGGAGGATGTTATCGGCGATGCGATAGTAGAATCGCAGCGCGATTCGGTTATCGACATCGAGTTTCTGAGCACTGGCAGCGATGCTGATCCTATCCGAAGAAGAGGACCTCATCGGTTTCTCTTATCGTTTCACGCAACGCAGCGTTTCACCGTCGTCGCCGTCGTTTTCTTCCCACAAACGAAACGACGACACCGGAACTGCGCAAAGCTTGGATGACGAAGCTAACGGTGATCGATCATCGACGGCGGTGTAGAAATTAGATCGGGTTGAAGCGATGAGGTGAATGAATGCGATAATTGTAATTTGGGGTAGTTGTGAGGGTAAATATGGAAACGCGGGTTTGCTTCATGGTCTATTTGGCCGCTCCCGCGTCGCCATACCCGTATTTTCTCCTCTCTTTTTTCTTATAATGGGATTTTTAAATATTGCACCATATAAATACTTTCCACTGAACTCTCAATTAAATATTTAATAACATGTGATTAGTAAAATAAATGTGTAATTATTTGAAAATTAATAATTACTTGTGAGAAATAAATTACTAAAAAAAATAAATTATTTCACTTGTTCAAATTCATTACTTATGTATCAAACTTAAAGTAACTTTAATCTATATTTATGATGTCTATACTCATATTAGAAATTGAGTTATATCAATATATTGAAAAAATTATTATTTTTTTAAATCAAAAGTGTGACTGTATTTATTAAAGAAAACTTAATACATAGATTTAATTAGGATTAAGTCTATTTCACACATTTTTAATGATATTTAACATTGAGTAACTCAATGAGTGACACAAAATTAATCGTAATTAAATATCTTTTCAAAATTTAATATAAACACATTAACAAACTCATATTTACGGATATTATATAAACTTATTTTTATTTTAAAAAATATACATCAAGTAGGTAATATCTTATTTTTTAAAAATTGGTTATGAAGATGATAATATATATATATATATATATATATATATATATATATATATTCATCTTGCTCTAAACTTTTAAAATATTATATCAATTTAATTTGTTGGATAACACACAAAATTTATATTATTTTTTATCTTAATTTTTTAAGATTTTTTAAAACACACATTTAGTTATTAAATACGAAAACGTGATAAAATGATGTATTATTTGTTGTAATTTTTATTTTTTATAAAATAAATATTTAATTAACCTTTATAATATTAAAGGAATAGGGACATTTTTTTTTAATAAAAATGAGACAACAATTCATATTTGTTTAATATTAAGTGAGGATAAAAAATAATTTTTAATTCAAAAATAAGATTGGATAGTCAATCCACATCCATTTTATTATCATTCTTACAAATATAATCGATAAAATTTTATGAAATAGATAAAATTTTATGAAATAGATAAAATATAGATTAAAAACCATTAATCTCTCCATATTATTTAAGTTAAATATTCAATATGTCATCGTTATCTCTTTTTAGTTTTAATAAATAGGGACAATTCATGTTAAAAATATTAGAAATATAGTATAAAATATCTCTGTAGAAGAAAACCAGGGTTTAAGAAAAATAATATAGTTACGTAAAAAAAATTATATTACGAAGAGGTATTAATTAATCATAAAAACTGTATAAATTATACGAAATTAAATTCAAATATTCAATCACTGAATTCAACATGGTGTTAATTCAAATCTTGTGGTATTTGTAATTAATAACCTCACCTCCTTATCTTTATCTTAAAAGGGTAAATTCAATGGAATTGCTCTTTCACTTTATTAAGTCAAATTACCAAAGCTCGTATTAGTTGAAAAAACAATGAGCTGTTCAAACAAGTAATCTCTACTTTTCATTAATGAAGGAACACTAATTGATAATTAGGACTAAGATTGAAAGTTCACTTTTACTAATCATATGCATAAAATTCATAATGAATGTTATTCTCTAAATTTTTTTATATTTATATTTATATTTTCTCTCTTTTTTACGTCATCATCCCGATACTATTAATCTTTTAAAGAGTTTTATGTGAAATAAATTATTTCATTTTTGCAATTTAAAACTATTTACATTTGATATAATTTTGTTCCAATCACAATAGGTTTAACAGACATCATTAGTTTGACGGTATTTAAGATATAGTTTGTTTTAAAGTTTGGATTTGACTAATAATGTTTTTGTCGTTAAAAATCTTGTCGATAGTTAGTCGAAGACGCTCTCCTAAGATCTGCGACATTTTCTCGATACACGAGAACAAGTCTCAAAGGCTTTGGATGGTTTGGGTATTTTGAATCAAAATTTATAAATATAAATAAATGCTAATTTTATAATGTAAATTAGTTTTTAAAGATTGAATTAAATTTAAAATTTACTTTTTAATATAATATTAAAATTATCTGAAATTCATATAATACAGTGATATTTGATGTCTGTTAAATCTATTATTTTATATGATTATTATTAATATTTATTCTCATATATATTTGAAGATAAAGAAATGTGTTCATTCTACAAGTCTTAAAATTGACTTAAATTTAAATATATATATATATATATATATATATATATATATATATATATATTCTTTTTAATTCCAATTCCAAAACCAGCACATTTTGAACATAAAAAAAATTGACTCTGAAAAATTCTTATTCTTTGTTTTTATTAATGATGTGTGGTCCATGGAGTACAGCAATAAAGAAATACCAAAGAGATGAGGGAAAGAAGAAGGAGAATTGTATACAACTTGGTGTTAAAAATATCTTTACAAGAAAAAATGTACCCACGAACTTGTTGACCAAACGAGTGTGTTCATAATTTAATTATATTTCCAAAATTGCAATTAGAGGATCGAGACATAGCCTAAATAGCATTATTTCATCTACTAATAAACTTAATCATGGCATTAAGAATCATCGCTTTGGAAGTTCAAGCTTCAATGGTCAACATCGTGAAAGTCAATCAATTCATTTAATTTGATCTTCCCTCCAAGAATCTTTAATATTTTCTTAAATTATATTTACATATTCTAAAACCACACTATCCACCAAATGATGTCTTTTATAAAAAAATGACAAAAACACCATTTCAAAATAAAAATCTTTGTATTATATTACATACTTTACATATCAATAAAATTTATATTCTCATCTCATGTTTTTGACAAAATGCTAAAATAATATAATCTTTTTTGTAAATAAAGAAAATACAAAAACAAATAAATCATATTAACTTCATATAATTTTATTGTGAAGAAATCGTGTTAAATGAAAATATATTGTATATGACGGAAGACCTATCAATTCAGTCAATCGAGATTTATAGTTTAGATATAAAAATACTTTGAAAAAGACGATATTAGATGTCAATAATTGAGTATTGAACTTTGAGTTTCACGTCAATAGATCTATATAAGTTGTAACTCATTTGAATAGATTTATTATTAACAAAGTAAACACTATAAATAGTGTATTAATGATAATTTATAATTATTTTTTTGTATTAATTGAAATTTTACTATAGAGTTTTGATCAAATGTTAACTTAGAAAATCTTTTAAAATATTTTCAATAATTAAAAGAAAAATTACAACATGGTGCATTTCCAATATTTTGCCATCCTACGTGAAAAGTTGTAAAGAGTAATGTTAAGTAATTTCTTCTCAAAGTACTCATAACATTGTGAGAAGTAGGAAAAAAATTGTACTCACTTTCCTTTGAGGTTTTCTTGTTTCTATGTAAAGATTTTGAACAGAGGAACAGTAATAATGACTTGGAAGACAATTGAGGGAAATTGCCGTGTTTGACTGACTCAACATTATCATCATTAAAAAAAGATGATCTATTAAAGTTAGGACAACTGGAATCATAAAATCGCAGACCTGCAACGTTCCAATTAAGTTTATACGTACAAAGAAATTCCCATTTATTTTTCTTATAATTTTATATTCAAATAAATGAAAATTACATTATTATCTACATTTTCATTTATTTTACTTAACTATATATAGAATATTTTTCGTTATATGAAAAACGTCATAATAAAACAGAGAGAGATAGATGGGTTGCGGAAGGGAACATGAAACGTTGCACTGAGAGGACTCATGACCGGACAGCATAGTCAACTATATAGTCAGTGCTGCCACCTTGGAAATCGCGATTAACAACGTTGTTCTCATGTCCTTTTTCTCCAGGCTGTGCCCCTGTTTCTGCAAGGGAGCCGCAACCTCCGGCGACGGCGGCGACCAACACGACGATCACAGCGGGCCGGCGGACTCCTTGGACCTGATTTTCGACCTCCACACTCTCCAACTCGCTACCAACTTCTTCAGCAGCCTCAACCAGCTAGGTCATGGAAGCTTTGGCCCTGTCTTCAAGGTACCATACCCCTTTCTCCTCTTCAAATTTCCAAACCTAATTAGTTGCTTCATCACGATAAAATTTTCACATTGAGTCCTGGGTTCTTGCCATTTTAATATTAATTATACGTTCTGGTATAGTAGATTTGTGATTTTAGTTCCCTGGTTCCGGTTCTCAATCACGAGTCAGTGGCTGATCAATAAATTCCAACCTGTAGAAAAATTAAATCACACAAGTACAAAAACTTTAAGAATTGGATTGACATAATTGTAATCTTAAAGTATGAAATCTGTATTAACTGTGGAAGATCTTGTTGGCACACGTGGGACTAAGGAACTAAAATAGTTACTGATTTGTAAAATCTCAATAATAAAAATACAATTCACAAACCAAAATACGAGTGATTTACCAAATTTCACCTTCAAATCAATTCTAAAAATATTTAGTAATTATTTTTCTCACCAGGTTATGCCCCTCGGACGAAAAAGCCAATTCACAAACCAGAGTGGGATGAAAAAACGATTAAAATCTTACTGTAGTACTAAAATATATGAAAAATGTACTGAATGGATTGTGTTTTCAATTAACTATAACTCTATATATAATTTTAAAATACTTGTTGCACAAGGCAATGGTTTTATCATGGTAATTTATGATTATAAAAAATGTTTTCAGTTTGGTTGCATTCTAGTTCTGGTTAAATTCTTAAAAATTATGAATTCTTATAAAAGTGTCGTTTTAGATTTTAGTTACTGTATGACCAAAGATCAGTCACGAGACAGTAGTCCTTATTGTTGAAATTTCAGGGCTAAAACGACCCTGGTCATTTGATAAGTTTATAGACTAAAATGGCGTTTTTTGCTTGATTAGGAAGCAAATTAATCAGTAAGATTACTGAAGTATTATTTCAAGTCAATTACTAAATATACCCTTTTTCAATTTTTCGGAGAAGGACGATTTAATTAATTAATTATATTTTGCATGCTTTGTGCAGGGAATGATGCCAAATGGTCAAGAAGTGGCGGTTAAGAAGCTGTCATTGGAATCTAGGCAAGGAGTTAAAGAATTCACCAACGAAGTCAGGCTATTACTCAGAATTCAGCAC